GATGTATATATTTATATATATTAATAATTGATGGGCCGATGTTTGATCTGTATCTCGAGTAGTGGTAAGTGATGATGCAGTCTACAATGGAGCATGTCTGCCCATAAGCAATCTATTCCCTCGGGCCTTGAAGACACCAAGGTATACCATTCAGGAGATGCAGACTCTGGCAAAGAATTCTACTCCGTAGCAGTACGCACAAGGAAGCTAATTTCGGTGCTAATTTCAGCCAGCAACTTTGTACAATTTCTATTATCTCCTATTATAAAGAAATCTTTCATTGTGCCCTTATACTCCCCATGGAATAATGGAATATACAAACCAAGTTTCAGCTTCCTACATAGTGCTAAACTAAACAATTACTTTCGACGGTTGAAAGACTCATTGAACTAAGCGGTTTTTTGTTTTTTTTTATTACAATATTTAGTTATACATATATGTATGTATATGTTACTGTAAAAGCTCGAACTACGGTAAATCTTAAGACTTACACTTAAATCTTAAGATTTACCGACATGAGTTGGTAAATGTAAGTATTTCTGAAGATACGACGTTTTTTTTCTAGCTTTTACCATTCGTACTCAGTATATGCTAGGTTTTACCACTGTCAGCTGGTAAATGTTGGTTTTAGGAATAAAACAATGAATAATTCTTAATTATTTACTATTAGACAAAATAGGTACATAGTATTATAAAGATATCATAATGATAGTAACAAGTACAAACTAATATCAACTTATTAAAAGTAATTTGAAAAACACGTATCTGAATATCTTAATCTCTGCCATATCTATCTAACTGAATCAGTATTTCTCTATTTGGAATTTAACAACGAAATACAAACATAATGCTTATAAAAGTTAGTCTAACTTAATTATTATTTTTCTTATTATTTGGTTTAGAAGTAAATAAAGATAATCAAATGTAATTGATTAATAGGTAAGGTTCCTAAAAAAACATTCTCTTTAATGTTCCTTCTTTAAATGTTCTTTGCAGTTTTTACTTCCTTTAAACACTTAGCGTATTTGTTATTATCTTTTTGTTTGCCACAAGCTCGTCCATTATTTAATAAAATTTGTTTAAGGCTTGGAGCTTCATTTTGTTCACCTTATCGTTATCGTTGTGGTGAAGATGTCAACAGTCTTGGACACCACGGCTTGTCATGTAGCCGTAGTGCGGGCCGTTTTGCTCGACACGCAAGTATTAATGACATAATTCGTCGAGCTCTTGCCTCCGTTGGCGTGCCAGCTACTTTAGAACCTAATGGCTTGGTACGCGACGATGGCAAGAGACCAGACGGTATGTCC